TATGTTGAATTAAAAATATGAACTTAACATTCTCCTCCAAATCAGTCTTATATTAACAATATTAAAAAATAAAAACCATATGTATTAGATGCAGAAAAAACATGAGAAAATGGAATATTTTTCATTAAAAAAATAATCTCAGTGGGGCCAGGCATGGTGCCTCCCAGGACTTTGGGAGGTTGAGGCAGGCAAATCACCTGAGGTTGGGATTTTGAGACCATCCTGACCAACATGGAGAAACCCAGGCTCTACTAAAAAAGACACAAAATTAGCTGGGCGTGGTGGTGTTTGCCTGTAATCCCACCTATTCACGAGGCTGAGGCAGGAGAATCCCTTGAACCTGGGAGGCAGAGGTTGTGGTGAGCTGAGATTGGGCCACGAAACTCTAGCCTGGGCAACGACACTCTAGCCTGGGCAACAAGAGTGAAAGTCCATCTCAAAAAAAAAAAAAAAAAAAAATTCTCAACAAACCGTGAATACAGGAGAATTTCCTGAACATGTCAAAGGGCTTCTTTAAAATACCTAATGCTAACATCCTATGTAATGATGAAAGACTGAATGTTTTTCCCTAAGACCAAGAATAAGACTGGCATGTCAGTTCTTACCACTTCTATTCAACACTGTACTGGAAATTCGAGCCACTGTAATCACTTTTAAAAGGGAGTCAGGAGAAGGAAGAAAGGAGGGAAGGAAGAAAGGAAGAGTGGAAAAGAGGAAGAGAGGGAGGAACATAAAAGGTATCTAGACTGAAAAGAAATAAGTAAAACTGTCTTTATTCACAGACCTAATCATCTGTGTAGAAAACCAAGTGACACCCACTGCAACATTACTGACACCAGTAAGTGAGTTTTGCCACATTGCAGGACACATGATTGATATACAAAAATCAATTGTAATTCTATATGTTACAAATAAACTGTTAGGAATTGAAATTTAAAAAATAATACTATTTATAACAGCATTAAAATATAAAATTCTTGGGAATATATCTGACATACTTTGCAAAATATCTGTACAATGATAACCAAAAAGTATTATGGAGAAAAATTAAAGAAGATCTAAGAAAATACCTTATTCATAGGTTGAGAGACTCAACATTATTAAGATGTTCATTCTTTTCCATGACATAATGCAATCCCAGTCTAAATCCAAGCACATATTTTGTAGAAATTGACAACTGATTTCATGACTTCCATGGCATGTAGATAACACAGAAATGCACAGTAACTCCGAAAACACAAAAGAATAAATTTAGAGAGCAAATACAATGCAGTTTGAAGAATTATTACAAAGCTACAATAATCATAACAGTGTGATTTTGACATAAAGAAAGATCAATGGAACAGAATAGTGTCCAGAAACCAGGTATATATCACACACACACACACACACACACACACACACACACACTTAAAATGTCACTGGTCAAGTGACTGCTTATGAACAGTAATTGCTTGATACACTAATCTAGGATCTGTTGGCCTTAAATCACTACCATAATCTTGAGACGTTGATGATGTCTTTGTTTTCTGAGAACAGTTTCAGTGTGCAAACTGATGGATGGTTCCATAGAGATGGCAGAAGAAAGTGTAGAGCCAGAAAAAAAGGGGGTACCCACAGACTTCTTGAGATTTTTTTAAAAGTTATAAAACATGATAAACTAATGAGGCATAAGTATACTTTTCATTATGAATATTTATGTTTTCACACCTTTCAGTAATGTGTATAAGAAAAAGTATTTAATGTAGTATTTATTAACAAAGCAATGAAGAGGGATGAAATTGACACAAACTGTAAAAAAATACAGTTTATTTCAGGAATCAATGATTTAAATTTAATTCATAATTTTTGGCAACATACCTTCATGTACTTCTGCAGTTATGTTTTCTTGCACACCTGCTGTATTTGAAAAAGTCAAATATTATTAATAATGTTTAAATTAAACAAGAGACATTCTCATGTAGCCCCATTGTAAGTCAAGGAGTATCTCTACTCTGGGTTGATCATCCCCAACCTGAAAATCTGAAATTCAAAATGCTCTACAATCTGAAACTTTTTGAGCACAGGCATGTTATCACAACTAGAAAGATCCACACCTGACCTCATGTGACAGGCTGTGGTGAAAACACAGTTAAAACTTTGTTACATGCAAAACATTTTTGTAAAACATTGTACAGGCTGGGTGTGATGGCTCATGCCTATAATCTCAGCACTTTGGGAGGCCAAGGCAGATGGATCACCTGAAGTCAGGAGTTCGAAACCAGCCTGGCCAACATGGTGAAACCGTCTCTACTAAAAATACAAAAATTAGCCTGGTGTGGCAGTGCGTACCTATAGTCTCAGCTACTTGGAAGGCTGAGGCAGGAGAATTGCTTGAACCTGGGAGGTGCAGGTTGCAGTGAGCTGAGAACACACCACTGCACTTCAGCCTAGGTTACAAAGCAAGACTCTGTGCTCCACCACACCCACTCCTCTCCTGCAAAGAAAGAAAAAAGAAAATGAAAGAAAAAAGAAAAAGAAAAATATTGTATAGTATTATCTTCAGGCTGTGTGCATAAGGTGTATATGAAACATAAATGTAGGCTGGGCGCGGTGGCTCAAGCCTGTAATCCCAGCACTTTGGGAGGCTGAGGCGGGTGGATCATGAGCTCAAGAAATCGAGACCATCCTGGTCAACATGGTGAAACCCCGTCTCTACTAAAAATACAAAAAATTAGCTGGGCATGGTGGCGTGTGCCTGTAATCCCAGCTACTCAGGAGGCTGAGGCAGGAGAATTGCCTGAACCCAGGAGGCGGAGGTTGCGGTGAGCCGAGATCATGCCATTGCACTCCAGCCTGGGTAACAAGAGCAAAACTCCGTCTCAACAACAACAACAACAACAACAACAACAACAACAAAAAGAAACATAAATGTATTTCATGTTTACACTTGGTACCGTCCCCATGGTATTTCATTAGGTATATACAAATATTCCAAAATCCGGAAAAAATCCACTTTTGGTCTTCCCAATAATTTTAGACAAGGGATATTCAACCTGTCCTACTAGAAAAATAAAATTCCTTTTCAATGTGACAGAAATTAAGAGATTGTCTTATTGAACTTTAACTTACCAGAATTTTCTGAAGCTGCTCAATTTTGTTTGCTCGCTCTTTCATTCTAATTTTTAACATGGCATTTTCTAGTTCAAGCCTAAAATACATATATTTTAAAATAATTATTTACAGACATAATTTTTTAAAAAATCATATAAATTCTAAAAAAATATCTGAAGAAATAATTACATAAATTCTGAGACATTTGAAAATTAGAAAACTGAGCAACTGCCATTTTTCTACCTTTGTTTTGTGGATAATGTGTAAAATTAAAAATAATGTAGAAAAATTATGCATTTCAAAATAGTTTACAGCTGAAATTTTTTCTTGGCTTCACATAGACATACTTATTATCTTAACTGATATAATTATCATACTACACTACTCATTTGCTTTATAAATACTCAAGATATTTTGTGTGCTGCTTTAAATTGTACTTTTGCACGTTGTCTGGAATCTCCTCATCACATCTTAGAGTCTCTGTGAGTTGATCCTGGATTTCTTGCAACTAAAACAAAGAATTGAAAACAACCTTTAGGTGTGGAAACCAAATGCCCATCAATAGGTGAATGAATGAACAAAATATGGTATATATAAAATACTGTTTTTAAACCATCAAAATCTATTTTATTAAAAATGATAATAATCTAGGACAAATCAACCTATTACCTGTTTTTTAACTAAATTTTATTGGAATGCAGCCACACCCCTGCAGTCTGCATATTGTTTATGGCTACATTTGTGCTGTAACTGCAGTGTTGAGTTGTTCCAACAGGGATCTTACGGCTCACAAAGTCTCCAATAATACTACCTGGTCCTTTACAGAAAAATTTACTGACCTATGCTGTAGGATTAAAATACAATATTTTTCTTGCTTTTAATTTCTTTTTTATCGGATACTCAAATTTACAAAATTGGTTAAATGGGGAAAGAGAAAATTACTTTATGGTAAGCATTTATATTTTTGAATTCCAAACACCACTACTACATCAACTATAATTTTGTTTCTTTTTTGTGTATATGCATTTAATTTTGTTGTAGCAAGGCAACCTATACATTTTTAATATTTAAAACTAAGCATCGTCTTTCCTCTCGAGGCAAACCACAAGAAAATTTAAAAATAAATAGGAACATAATTAAAATAGACAAGATCAATTTCAAATAAGATCCTACAGGTTCTGTTGATTGAGTGACAGGGCTCACATCATCATTAGGAGAGAATTTATTTACAAGTGTCATCTTAAACTGCAGGGATATCCATTAAACATGCCAAAGGAGAAGCCATGTTGTCAAAATGCCCACTTGACCCATCCAAACATCTCAAACCTACCCTTTGCTGACCTTCTATAACTCCATGTTTAAAGTTTTTTTTTTGTTTGTTTTGTTTTTTTAAACTAGAGAAAGTAGACAGACACAGGTTGGCAAATGCTAACTGTTCGTAGTCATATGACTATGACTATAGCCCAACATAAAGTCAGAGCAAGGATTTTCATCAAAACAAAGATGTAGAATGGCCTTTCTGTGCAAGTTAAACTGAAACCCATGAAATAAGTAAGCACAAGTTCTTTATTCACACAGAAAAGTAGAGATTAAAAAAAGAAAAATTTCTGAAACATTCCATTAGAAATTATCCTCTGAATTAATCTGGCTTGTATCCCCATGGCAATACAAAAATCACTAAAAATACACTGTAAGCAGAAAAAAAAATTATCTAATCTTCTATGAGAAATGATGTGTAATTCTCAACTTTCTTAACTGGAAATATTATAAGAAAAATATTTATTATTATAAAACAGCAGAGATTGAGAAATGAGTGCATTATAAAGATAATAAAATTAATCATAATTAAAATATTAAATAAAGCTGTCAACTAAAACTACTATCCTACAACAGTTGATATTAACCAGCTACAGAGTAACTGTTGACATGCTAAGTTTCATACATACCTGACTTCTCATCTGTCCTAATTTCTTGTTTGTATCTTGTATCTCATCTTCTAAAGTATTTTGATGTTGTGATGAAATCTCTAGCATACTTTCTGACAGTAATTGTTTGTTCAGGGCATCACCCAGTTCTTGCTTGAGTTTTCTCACAACTACCTGATAAGATGTTATTTTTGTTATGGATTTTACATATCACCTTATTATTAAATTGTGTTAGTAATATTTAACTCTAATGTATACACTAAGAAAAGTATCACCACACACACAGATTCTTTTTTTTTCCTCATGTGTATACATTCCTGTTTATGAATGAATCCAGTTAAGGATAAAGAAGGTGTTACCTTTGTGACAAACTGCTGCTGTGTTACTCATACAGCAGATTCAGTCTGATGAATATGCAATGCTTAAAAACCTTCTCAAAAATAAACAGGTAGGACTGGTAGTACCGAAATTTACATTGTGCAATATTCTTTTCTCTTTTTTATAAGAAGAAGCTCAAATCAACCTCAACATATTCAGTTACCTGCTCATATCCTTTCAATAGATTTCCATCTCAGAAAAAAAGTAACATTCCAATGGCCTTCAATGCTCTAGGTAAACTGGCTTCTACCTCCCTCCCTGACCTCGGCTGCTATGTCTGTCTTCCCTACTCCCTCCATTCCTACCAACCCTCATTAATCTGAAAATGGGGATCCAATGTGAAACTAATAAATCACAGACAGCTAAGCTTATCTTTTTACTGGACAACATTATATCCAAATGAGAGTCATTGAGTCTTGAAAAAAAAATTATAACCACATTTTTCATTAAAAATTGAAAGTAAGTTATAAATGCTAGTGAGAAGATTAAATCAAATCTAGTTTGGTAACATTTACCACATTTTCCCCATATTATAATGTAAGGAAAATTAGATATCTTTGAAGAATGGAAAGGTCACATCGATGTATAATTTAAGATTGAATTATTTTCAAATTTAAGTCAAATTGACATGAATAAAAATAAAATTGGCCAGGCATGGTGGCTCATGCCTGTAATCCCAGGACTTTGGGAGGCCAAAGTGGGCAGATCACCTGAGGTTGGGAGTTCAAGACCAGCCTGACCAACATGGTGAAACCTGGTCTCTACTAAAAATACAAAAATTAGCCAGGCATAGTGGCAGGTGCCTATAATCCCAGCTACTCGGGAGGCTGAGGCAGGAGAGTCACCTGAACCTGGAAGACAGAGGTTGCAGTGAACCAAGATTGTGCCATTGCACTCCATTCTGGGCAACGGAGTGATATTATAAATAATTTTATATTATTTATAATTTAATAAATAAAATTATACCAACTAAGATACATTAAAAGCTATCAAAGAAAAATAATTTTAAAATAAGGACTACACTTTTGTTCATCTGGGAAATCTGGAATTAATGGTCAAAGTAATCCAATTAATTGAGTCAATTTAAAAATAACACTTTAGGTATGAACATTTCTTTATATCTGTTTTATCATAATCCTAAAATGTGGCAACATACAGACTTTAAAATTATTTCAGCAGTGTAAGACTACATTATAAATATTAGTCTATATTAACATTTTGTAACTGAAATGCTTAAAATTTCCTGAGTGTCACATTGTCTTTACTCAAAAGACAGCATCTCTTAGCTCTAACTTTTATTTGCTGGAAACAAGTTACATTTTCTAAGGTGATATAGCAGATCTATTTATCATGTATATATTTTCATATTCAACTACATTCAATGTTTAGCCATAACCAAATATTACTTTAAATTTTACTTCAGGAAGTTTGAAAAATACTTATTTTTCTTGATACTTACTTCTTCTTCTTCTTTCTCTTTTTCATACTGACATTGCCTTTCTTTTAAAAGAGTATATTCCTCCATCAACCCCTTGTTGTTCTCTTCTAGCAGAATACAGTGCTTTCTACACTCAGCTTCAAGTTTCTCTACAGTATCTTCACATTTGGCTTGGATATTAATTATTGTTTTTTCCTGATTGTCAGCTTTCTTGTGAGCATCATTAAGTTGCTGTTGATGCAATGAATTTTGGCTTTGTATCTGAAATAGTCCGTCCTCTACAGATGGCTGCTTTCTCACATATTTTTCCACTATATGTTGGTCATTTTGGTACATGTGTTCAATGGCCTTCACGCGACACTGTGTTTGGCTTATGACTCCTTGCATGTGTTCTATAGCCAACGTCTTTTCCTTGAGAACCTCTCTTTCATAATGGAGCTCAGTTTCCAGGCCACTGGATTTACTCTCAGCTTTAGAAAGTTGCTGAGAAAGAATCTCAATATGAGAATTCATATTTTCTTGTAAATGACACCACTGATTTACTGTGTTCTGGAAAGCAAGCTGTAGGTCTCTTTTTGATGACTGACTTTGATCACGATCACATAGAGCAGCAGCCAGTCTACAACTGTATAATTCCATTTCTGTTTCCAGTCTTTGCTTTCTTTGTTTTTCCTTCTCTAGCTCAGAACTGAGCACTGTATTCTTATCCAATGTCAGAACATTAAGCTCTTCACTATACCAGTTTATTGTTTTTGTTAATGTTTCCTCATTCAGCTTTAGAGTCTTTTGAAGGTCTTCATTCTTTTTCTTTATAATTTCAATATCCTTGAAATACGTGTTTTCATTTTCCTCGTTCTGATGTTTTATTGTGTCTTTTTCTAGCTTGAGTCTGGCAATTTCATCCTGCATCAAGTGATTTTTCTGCCACAGGTCTTTTTGTTTTTCATAAGTGTGAGAACTCTAAATAAAACAAAGAAAACTTTCAACTAGTACCCAATAAAATGATACATTATGATTTCTTCTGAAACTAAATAAGTAATAACCGGTACATTTATACAATGAAAGAATTGCCATCTGGATATCCAATTGGAAAAAAGAAGTTGAATCAAAACTTCAAACATTTTAAAGCATAAACTCTCAAAAGTTCAAAAATGTATTTGAAGACAATTAATTTTAAAAAAGGCTTTTACTGAATTTCAACAAACCCAAAGGTATAAATGATTAATAACTATGAGTACATTTAGAAATTGGGTTTATGCACTAACATCTAACCTTTATTTTTCCCTATAGTGTAAAAGCCTTAGCTCTGCAGATATTTGGACAGATGAAATTTTCCAAATTCCTTAGGTTTCTTTTTCCTGCAAATATTTTATAGATAATTCTACTTTTCTTACATTTTTCGAGTCAGTTTTAAGAATGACACGTATTTATAAATGATAAATCTAGGCATTGTACTAAGCACTTTTATATGCATACATCAATTAAGTCATTTAGTTATCACAATTCTGAAGGGAAAGTTTAAAAATATAAGCAAGCTGCTGGATTTTCCCCAGGTCTTCTGACTCCTAGTGCTCCTCCACCAGAACATGGTTATGTCCAAGGAGTAGATATGCAAATACAATAAAAACATTTTCTTTCAAAACACCAAAAGTAAAGAAGGTAACATTTATAAAGCTCTTCTTAGGACATCATGAGATTATGTACTATTACGATAACTTTTATTTCATTTTCACAATGTTTGAAACCATAATTAATGTGAAATAGAAAAATCTACATTGAACTATGTCCCTAGGAATAAATTACTTATCTATAAAATACCACTAAGTATATGTTATGGAATATAATTTTTTTCCAAAGGTCTTTGAACTGAAATAAAATACTACTTTGACGCCAAGATTTATAATAAATAATTGTAGCTATAAGTGTCATTCATTTTTAAGATGAAATAAAATTTGTGGTTTTAGAACTAAATAATATATATTAAGTCAAAGGGATATTATAATATTAACAAAATAAAATTAGAAATATAAAATTTTACCAAATGTTAATGTACCTGATTTAAATTATTTCTTACAGTCTTCAATTCCATTTCCAGTGATTTGAGAGTCAGTTTAAGTTGTTTTTTTAGTCCAGCTTGTGTCCAATATTGCTCTTCCATTATTTTGAACTTTTCTGTATCTTTTCCATACTTTTCAGGGTTTCTTCTTTTTTCTTCTTCTTGTTGTAAGATTAATCTGTAGTTAAATATACTTATCTTAAAATCCTTTAAAAACAAAGCACTCGTATGCTGATTTATTTTCCTAATAAAGTGCCCATGTTCTTGAATATTTTTTCTTTGTAGTTTTCATGTTAATTTTTCACTTCAATGTCTTCCAAAGGACATATATAAATTGAAAAGTAGTAAGGAATAAGCATTCTGCTAATTGATTAGCTTCTGTTATTAATAACTGTAGTAAATATTATTGAAAAGGACATTGAAAATTATTAGGTAAAGTTGCAAGTTAAAAATTACCTTTTCTTCACACATTAATAATTACTCCTCAGGATGAAGCATTTAGAGTTAGCTAATTAAAAAGAAGTTTTTTTTATAAATAAGTTGATGTCTTCAGTACAAATAAATTTTCATATTCATGAAATACTGCAGGTATCCCTAAACATGATTTACATTGTAAGATAGCACCTTCAGGTGTCTTCTTGCAACATTTATCTGCATATGACTATCATCCAAGCCTAGGCTAAGGAATCTAAGATATTACCCCATACTTTTTATGTTTCTTTTTTAAGTAACACTTTTAACTTATCCTATTGATTATTATGTATTTTACAAATAATGTTAAAATCCATTCTCAAACAAGACAATATTTAATATTTAAACAGTAAAGAGTGCCTTTAGCATAGAACCTCGAATTAATTTAATCTCTGTAGCAGAGAGAGATGTTGACTAAGCTAATCAGTAATCACTTTCCATTTTACTTTTAATTTCCTGCATACTAAAAGTAAAACTAGGCCAGGCATGGTTGCTCATACTGAAATCAGTGGATAATTTGCAGTCAGCAGTTTGAGACCAGTCTGGCCAAGGCCAGTGGATAACTTGCGGAGTTTGAGACCAATCTGGCAAACATAGCAAAACCCCATCTCTGCTTAAAAAAAAAAAAAAAAATTAGCCAGGCATGGTGATGCATGCCTGTAATCCCAACTACTTGAGAGGCTGAGGCACAAGAATCACTTGAACACAGGAGCAGAAGTTGCAGTGAGATGAGATTCCACCACTGCACTGCAAACTGGGTGACAGAGCAAAACTCCGTCTCAAAAATAAATAAATAAATAAAAATAAAAGTGAATAATTTTAAAAATAATTACTCTGGGTAGAGAAAAATACACATGTCATACTCTGTTGAATTACAAATTAATATAAACTTTCTTAAGAACAACTTAGAAATATTCATCAAAAATCTTTTTTAAAAGCTCCTATACTCTAACCAGATAGCACTATTTTGAAACGTTTTTCCAAAGTAAATAAATAGAAATGTAGAAAATTATGGATATGTAGCATGTTCCTTACAGCATTAATACAATACATTAAGACCCCCAATTTCAATGTATTAAATAATGAGATTTCCATAGAGTAGAAATCTATATAATCATTTAAACAATGATTTAAAGGAATATGCAATTAATTATTAGAGAAGTATTACACAATTAAGAGCTTGTGATATTATATACAAGAATTTCACATTCCACAATTTTAAGAAGTTTTCTTCTCTATTAAACCCTAGAAGGTAAGTCAACTATTACAAAAATTATCCTACATCTCTTTAGTATAAGCAGTTCAAATATTTCTTTAAAACTAGAATGTTTTACCTTAAACTATGGAGCTCTTGTTTCCATTCAAGTTTCTGATGCTCTAACTGTGATTTGGTTTTGTCTGTCTCAGATAGTTCATTTTGTAGTATACTAATCTTATTTTTCATTTTTTGAAATTTCACTGTAAGTTGTTCACAGTAATATATTTTATGCTCGATTAATCTTTCATGTGCAGATATTGCATTCTTGATTTTCAATAGGCTAACAAAATCTGTAACCAAGGGAAAACAAAATAGAGATAAAATACATGAGTAGGGTTTTAGATATAAAGGATTGTGGATATCAACATGGCACTCATTCAAACACTGAATGAGTATGTGTATACTGACCGCCTGCAATGTGGAAAATATTATAGAAAGATCTTCAGATAAAACAGACATGTCCGAACTTGTTTAGTTTAAAGCATAGTGAAGAACAAAGACAAAGCTGACAAATATAAATTCAGATAGCTGCTTTAAGAATACATAGTTTTATAATCACATAAGAGAATTTGATCTATAATTGGCCAAGGGAAGATTTCCCTGAGGAAGAGAAGGCTACACTGAGAAATGAATAATGAGAAGGAAGCAGCTGAGCAAAGGAGGAAGCAGAGCACTCTGGCTTGTCTGATGCATGTTCTGGATCTCTGCTGCAATCTACTTCCAGCCAAGAGGGAGCAACGGGTACTAATTTTCTTTCTTACCTGAAGCCAAAAACAACCAGGCAAAATACGTGAAATGATGCCTTTCAACACAGTGGACTTTGGTAATGAGGACGGTAATCACTGAAAGACAAGAAACAAATGTAGGCCTTACAAAAGTCCTAGCTTTTTGTGTGTACCGAGCTCCCAGGCCACGACAAAGGGAGAAAATCTGACACAGATTCCCTGAGCTGGGGCGGTGATGCTAAGAGTTTGGTAAAACGAAAGCAGAGATAAATCACAGGACAGAACAATTGAGAGAAGAAAGCAACAGAGGAAACAAACCCAGGATATCTGCAGAGGTCCCCTCTAAAGTATTTAATAGAATAATGAAAAAAATGCATGTGTGCTAGGAAACTTCCTAAGACCAAGGCAGAGGGGAAAACAGGAGAAACAATGTCTGCTGTTCTCTAAGTGCCCAGAAGAGGGTCCATTCCCAGAAGCCAGGCCCAAAAAACTCATACTTCACAGGATAATAAATAATCAGAAAACTCTTGCCTCAGGAGTGGCAAATTGCTCAAAATCTAAAAGCAAGAACAAAAAGAATTCTGTTTATAAGTAAATGACTGTACCTCCAAAAAAACTTGAGACAATAAGTAGAGGCATGTAAGATATTTCTTTAAAAATCAAACCATACTTGCAGAAATGCCAATTGCAATGTCAGAGGTAAAAACTACAGAGGATGAAAATAAACAAAGATTAAACATCACGATCATAAATTTGACATGATGAACTATGAGAAACCTTCAAGCAACTAATATATAAGTCCCCAAATAGGAAGAAAGACAGAAAAGAAAATTGAAAAAAAATGGCCAAAAACATTCTAAACTTGGCAAAATCCATAATCCCACAGATCCAGGAAGGAACTGTCTGGGAAAAAAAATAAAAGGATACCATTGTCATTTTCTTATGCCATCTATGATGTGGTATAACATTACTTAAAGGCAGACTGTGATAGGTTAAAATTATATACTATAAATCCGAAATAAGCCACTAAGATAGCAAACAAAGAGTTATATATAATAAACCAAAAAATAAATGTGAAATTAAATCATAGAAAATAGCTGACTAATCTAAAGGAAAGCAGAAAAAGAAGAAAAGAGGAACAAATAACAGCGAGACTAACAGCAATCGAACAGCATAATGACAGAAAAATGTAACTATATTGATAATCATAATATAAATGAAACTGGTTTACAAACCTCAATTAAAAAGCAGACTGACAGACTCAGTAAGAAAGCAATACCTAATTACATCCTGTCTATACAAAATGCACTTTAATTGTAAAGACATAAATTGGCTATAAGAATAGAAAAAAATACATGCTAACACTTGTCAGAAGATTACTGAGAAGAAATGATTGTATTAATATCAAAGTCGATTTCATAGCAAAAACATTTCCAGCAATAAATAAGGTCATGTCATAATGATAAAAGTTTCTTTTAATCAAGAAAACATAATAATCCTAAATGTTTATGCCCCTAATGTCATAAGAAATTCAAAATGCAGGAGGCCAAAGTGGATAGAACTACAAAAAGAAATAGCCAATTTCTAAGCAATCTGAAGTTTCAATACCTTTTACTCAAGAAGTGATAGAACAAGGAGACAGAAAATTAGGAAGAATAGAGCAGACTTAACACTGCTTTTCAAGTACCTATGGAACACTTACCAAAATAGACAATATTTTAGATCATATAATAAATCTCATTAAAAAGATTTAAGTAGGAGAAGGCCAAATAAGAACAGCTCTGGATTGCAGTTCACAGTGTAAATGCAGAGGGTGAGTGATCACCGCATTTCCAAATGAATTTTTAATGCTGACAGACCTGGAGATTCCTGGGTGGAAAAGCGACACGAGTCTCTAGCACAGTTGTTTCAGCTGGTGCAGTGGATTTCCACACAAAAACTCACACAAATCTGGGTGCTATTTCAAATTGCAACTGGAAGGCCTGAGAGACAGAGTCACCCATTCAACTGAAAAAAAGGGGGCTGAAACAGGGAGCAAGTAGATCTGGCTCAGCTGGTCCCATGCCCACAAAGACGAGCAATCTGAAACGCTCTGGATTGAGTGTTTCACAGCAAGCACAGCTGGACCAGGGATGGTCCAGCTCTGTGGGGGAAGGGTGTCTGCCATTACCAAGGCAGTGCACCACTACTCGGGCAGTCTGCCACTCCCAAGGCAGTCCGCCATTACCGAGAAAATCCTCCATTACGAAGGCAGTCCGCCCTTACAGAGACAGTCTGCCATTAGTGAGGCAGACCACAATTACCGAGGCAGTTCTAACTATTCCCCTATAAAAAAACCGCAAGGAAATTCACATAGCAGCTGGGCAGAGCCACAGCAGCTCAGCAACGCCGCTACTGGCAGACTGTGACTAGACTACCTCCTCACTGGGGAAGGCATCTCTGAAAAAAGGCAGTAGAATGTCAAGAACTTATAAATAAAGCCCCATCTTCCCAGGACAGAGCACCTGGGAAAAAAAGATGGTTATGAGATCTGCTGCAGCAGACTTAAACGTACCTGCCCAGCAACTCTGAACAGAACAACAGAGCTCACAGCTCAGCACTTGAGCTCCTATAAGGGACAGATGGTCTCCTCAAGCAGCTCCCAACCCCCATATAACCAAAGAGACAACTTAGGCTGATAGCTGGTGGATATCTTTCTGGGACAAAGATAAAAGAAGAATAAAGTAACAGCAACCCTCTCTGTTCTGAAGCCACTGCAGGTGATCCCCAGGCAAGCAGGGTCTGGAGTGGACCTCCAACAGTCCCACAGCAGGGGAGCCTGACTGTTAGAAGGAAAACTAAGAAACAGAAAGAAACAACTTCATCAGCAACAAAAAGGACATCCACTCAGAGAACCCATCTGAAAGTCACCAACCACGAAGACCACAGGTACATAAATGCATAAAGATGGGAAGAAACCAGCAAAAAAAGGATGAATATACCCCAAACAAGAATGTCTCTCCTCCTCCAAGAGATAGAAACATCTCACCATCAAGGGAACGTGGATGGATGGAGAATGAGTCTGATGAATTGACAGAAACAGGATTCAGAAGGTGGGTAATAATAAATATCTCTGAGCTAAAAAGTCATGTTCTAATCCAAAGCAAAGAAACTAAGAACCTTGAAAAAAAGTTTGAAGAAATGCTAACGAGAATAAACAGCTTAGAGAAGAACATAAACAACTTGATGGAGCTGAAAAACACAGCACGAGAACTTTGCAAAGCATATACAAGTTTCAATAGTCGAATCAACCAAGCAAAAGAAAGGATATCAGAGATTGAAGACTAACTCAATGAAATAAAACAAGAAAAGAAGATTAGATAAAAAAGGGTAAAAAGAAATGAACAAAGCCTCCAAGAAATATGGGATTATGTGAAAAGACCCAATCTACGTTTGATAGGTGTGCATGAATATGACGGAGAGAATGAATCTAAACTGGAAAACACTCTTCGGGATATTATCCAGGAGAACATCCCCAACCTAGCAAGGTAGGCCAACATTCAAGTCCAAGAAATACAAAGATATTCCTCAAGAAGAGCCACCCCAAGGCACATAATCGTCAGATTCACCAAGGTTGAAATGAAGGAGAAAATGCTAAGGGCCACCAGACAGAAAGGTTGGGTTACACACAAAGGGAAGCCCATTAGACTCACAGTGGATCTCTCCACAGAAACCCCACAAGCCAGAAGAGAGTGGGGGCCAATATTCAACATCCTTAAAGAAAAGAACACTCAACCTAGAATTTCACATCAGCCAAACTAAGCTTCATAAGCAAAGGAGAAAGAAAATCCTTTATGAACAAGCAATTGCTCAGAGATTTCATCACCACCAGGCCTGCTTTACAAGAGCTCCTGAAAGAAGCACTAAACATAGAAAGAAACAACCAGTACCAGCCACTCCAAAAACATACCAAATGGTAAGGAGCATTGACACAATGAAGAAACTGCATCAACTAATGGACAAAATAACCAGCTAGCATCGGATCAAATTGAAACATAACAATATTAACCTTAAATGTAAATGGCTAAATGCCCCAATCAAAAGACACAGACTGGGAAATTGGACAAAAAGTCAAAATCCACCAGTGTGCTGTATCCAGGAAACCCATCTCACATGCAAGGAAACACATGGGCTTGAAATAAAGGGGTGGAGGAAGATTTACCAAGCAAATGGAGAGAGAGAAAAAAAAAGCAGGTGTTGCAATCCTAGTCTCTCATAAAATAGACTTTAAACCAACAAAGATCAAAAGAGACAAAGAAGGACATTACATAATGGTAAAAGGATCAATGCAACAAGAATAGCTAATGATCTTAAATATATAAGTGCCCAATAAAGAAGTGCCCAGATACAAAAGCAAGTTCTTAATGACCTACAAAGACACTTAGACTCCTACACAATAATAATGGGAGATTTTAACACTCCAGTGTCAATATTAGATCAACAAGACAGAAAATTAACAAGGATATTCAGGACTTGAACTCAGATCTGGACCAAACAAACCTAATAGACATTTACAGAACTCTCCA